GCTCTGGCTTCATCAGCTCTTCTCCTATCCTTGGGAGGACTATGTACTTCTCTCCTCTCCCTCCCGTAACCCTCACCAGTGTGGGATTTATTTGACCGAGAGAACTCTGAGGCCAAGTTTCGTTTTGTAGGGAGATCCCTAACCCTACCATGCATGAATCTTCCTTGGTCACTCCCGCTAGTGCGAGAGTTTTCAACACTGTTGTTGCTATTGGTAGCTCCACTTCCCATCCCTCCTTTATAAGATGCATTCCTACTCAGGGAAGCTCACATCCACTCACCCCATTGAGCTGACTTATCAGACGGCAGGCAGTGGCGGAGCTAGGATTTGAAATCAGGGTGGTCCTTCTCAAGAAACTTTTTTTTGACAACAAACATGACATATGAAGGTTCTAAGCAATTACCAATACCACACATAAATAGATCAATATAGCCTTACAAACATACTAAAATTCTTAATTAAGTCTTAGGTTCGCATAAAAGAAGCCTACATAGTAAATACCTTGAGAAGTTAAAAAGACTATGTTTCTGGCCTATGCTATTACATGGGCATGAAAGTATCAATTATACCATCTTCATTCACCTTGGAGAAAGCTTGATGACCCACAAGTATAGGGGATCTATCGTAGTCCTTTTGATAAGTAAACGTGTCGAACCCAACGAGGAGCAGAAGGAAATGATAAGCAGTTTTCAGCAAGGTATTCTCTGCAAGTACTGAAATAAGTGGTAACAGATAGTTTTGTGATAGGATAAGTTGTAACGAGCAATAAGTAACAAAAGTAAATAAAGTGCAGCAAGGTGGCCCAATCCTTTTTGTAGCAAAGGACAAGCCTGGACAAACTCTTATAATAGGAAAATCGCTCCCGAGGACACATGGGAATATCGTCAAACTAGTTTCCATCACGTTCATATGATTCGCGTTCGGTACTTTGATAATTTGATATGTGGGTGAACCGGTGCTTGGCTGCTGTTCTTACTTGAACAAGCATCCCACTTATGATTAACCTCTATTGCAAGCATCCGCAACTACAACAAAAGTATTAAGGTAAATCTAATCATAGCATGAAACATATGGATCCAAATCAGCCCCTTACGAAGCAACGCATAAACTAGGGTTTAAGCTTCTGTCACTCTAGCAACCCATCATCTACTTATTACTTCTCAATGCCTTACTCTAGGCCCAAATAATGGTGAAGTGTTATGTAGTCTACGTTCACATAACACCATTAAAGGCTAGACAACATACATCTCATCAAAATATCGAACGAATACCAAATTCACATGACTACTAATAGCGAGACTGCTCCCGTGTCCTCAGGAACAAACGTAACTACTCACAAAGCATATTCATGTTCATAATCAGAGGAGTAATAATACGCATAAAGGATCTGAACATACGATCCTTCACCAAATAAACCAACTAGCATCAACTACAAGGAGTAATCAACACTACTAGCAACCTACTAGTACCAATCCCGGACTTGGAGACAAGAATTGGATATAAGAGATGAACTAGGGTTTTGAGATAAGATGGTGCTGGTGAAGATGTTGATGGAGATTGCCCTCTCCCGATGAGAGGAGCGTTGGTGATGACGACAGTGATGATTTCCCCCTCCCGGAGGGAAGTATCCCCGGCAGAACAGCTCTGCCGGAGCCCTAGATTGGTTCCGCCATGGTTCCGCCTCGTGGCGGCGGAGTTTCGTCCCGAAAGGTTGCTTATTATTTTTTTTCTCGACGAAAGACTTCATGTAGGAGAAAACGGTCATCGGAGAGCCACCAGGGGGCCCACGAGGTAGGGGGCGCTCCCCCACCCTCGTGGACAGGGTGTGGGCCCCCTGGCCTTCATCTTTGACGAGGATTTTTTATTATTTATTTTAAGATATTCCGTGGAGTTTCAGGACTTTTGGAGTTGTGCAAAATAGACCTCTAATATTTGCTCCTTTTCCAGCCCAGAATTCCAGCTGCCGGCATTCTCCCTCCTTATGTAAACCTTGTAAAATAAGTGAGAATAGTCATAAATATTGTGACATACAGTGATGTAACAGCCCATAATGCAATAAATATATAAAAGCATGATGCAAAATGGACGTATCAAAGCTCAATGTATGTGAATTTGTTTGCTGATTAGAATGACAACATGCACGTCAATACTAAAGAAACACAAGATGCACCAACTAAATCGGACAAAAACCAAGGTAACAAGTAGGGTACTCCAGTAATATTTGTAGAAAGTATATAAGGATTGCTCTACACCAAATAGCCCACTGGTGACAACGACAGAGCCTAATAGGCAGTTAGCAGGCTATGTGGCTAACACAAACAAATACGGGGGGATCTCATAATGCAGAGCTTAGCACGAAAGCAAAGAGATTTTGGCTGCACGAATCAACCCTGCCGGGCGCCGGTGAGCTTCACGTAGACGCCCTTGTCGACGAACTCTCCTTGCACTGGCAGGGGTGGCTGGGCACGCCCACGCCGACGCTGTTGTGCAGTAGTGTTGCACTTCCGGTGGAGTTGCAGCCGGTAGCCGGCAGCCCGGCAGGGACTAGCGGGAGGGGCCTGCGAGGCGGCGGCAACGACTCGAGGAGGCACTGAGGCAGGCGGCTGGCGGCGGATCGAAGCACGTAGAGCAAAGGGGATCAGAGGAATCAGCTGGCGTCGACCGTCGAGAGGCACGGAATGCACAGTGTATGCAGTAGGCTGTTGCTGGGCTCTTTTTTCCTTGGCCCATCCTCCTAGTAACCCTATGGTATATAGGCTGGCCCAAAATCCCAGGGTGGGCCACACTTATCATCGACATGGACTAGTCTACCACATCTCAGGCAAAAATGCGGTATCTTCTCATTGTAAAAATTGAACCATGTACTCTCTTCATCATCTTCCGATGCGTTCCAACTGAAACACCACACCAGCGGTTCATAACAGAAATCTTGGCCTGAAATCTCAGATATTTCCCCCTTACAAAGCTATCATCTTTCACATCAACCTTCACCACATGGCCCAACCAATTACCCAAAGCTTCCCCAAACTCCTTCGTCCTTTTACCCAGTGGTAATCCTCTACAGGGACCCAGACTTCTATCGTATTGAAAATCATCCCTGAAGGCCTGGTCTTACCATCGTAATCGTTTAGAATCAGAACATTAAAATCAGATTGCCAGGGTCCGTTATTTCTTGCATGCTTCCAGTCTCCTTCCCCTTCAAAGTGAACCAGGAATAGATTGTTTCCCATATCCCAAAATTGAGCGTCTCGGTGTAAACCCCACGCCCTCCTCATATAGCATTCCAGGGCGATCTTGTTCATGGGTCTTGACGAGCACACTTTTCTGAACAGAGACCACCTCCTCACGGCCGGGATCTCCTCCACTAGTCCTTGGAAGAGGAAACCCTACATTTCCTTCTTCGTTAACACCATCCTGCCGAGTCTGGTCGAGAGGCTTGCCGTCGCATCTGGCATTCTGCTCACGCCAGCGAGTCCGCGTCCTTCGATCGCCGCGTCGTCTCATCTTCCTTAGCTGCGCCCTGCGCCGTCGATCTCGGGGTCGCCGTCTTCTGCTGTGATACATCAACTTGCCGCCCGCGTTCCTTCTCTGCTATAGCCCCACATCTCACCCTAGTCGATCCGTGCTTTGGGAGGCGCCGTCGCCGCCCAGATCACCACCGTACCCCGAACACCTCCGATGAGAAACCCTAACCCTAGCGGTAGCCCGGGATCGCCAGTCGATCGCCTCTTGTCGCCTGAGGTGGACCTGCGTTGTTCTATCTCTCGTCATGGTCTCCCATAAATGTTAAATAATTTTCTGTCGATGTAGCATTTCTAGTATGAATGTGTGCATCTGCGGATCAAAGCCTTGGAGGAGCCATTCTTTTTGAATGGAAACATAATCATAAAGCGATCTTCTAAAAAAAAGAGGAAAAGGAAAAAGTAAGGCCGTAAGGGCAGAATTGGTTTGCGAGAACAAACTGGGCCTGGTTGCTTCCTGGGTCGTAATACTACTTGCCATCTTCGAGAAGGGCTGTAGCCCAAAACCTCCGACGTGGATCGGCGTTGCGCCGCCGCTGACTTGCCGGTGTGTGCCCCTATTCCCCGCACCATCTCCCATCGCGCTCGCTCCCTTGCCGGCGCACGCTGCAGCGTGCGGCTGCCGTCGTGGCCCATGCAGAGAAGAGCCTGGCCTCTCGCCGCGGCGTCCCCTGGGGCGTGGACCTCCGCCAGTCCGCCACCACGGGTGAGATCACCAACCAACCGCTACGGACCCGCTCGGCGGCTACAGCGGCGAATGAGGGGCAGCGGATGCGATGTTGTCTGAGAAGCGGCGCAAACCCTCGGCTCGCCAGCGGAGGGAGAGGAATACGCGGGCGGAGTTGGGCGGTGGTCGCCGGCAGGGTTCTGCGCAAGTCAAGGAAAAGCACGGCTACAAACTACGGAGAAGCACGGCTTGATTGAGTGGATACAATCTACGAAGAGGACCAAGGGCTTGTTCGGAGTCCCTCCCGCTCCGTAACTCCGCTCTCGGAGCAGCCGGAGCAGCAGTTTAAATTTACGGAGCGGGGAAATAGGTACTCTGCGGATCTTTGAATCTGGCGGAGCTGGAGGCTTCCCGAACAGCTCCCAAGTATGTATACGCGTTCCGCTTTTACGATTAATCTGTTTGCTATGAATTGGCATATAATGTTACAATGCTTAGATGGATATACATTGTATGCATCCGGATTATGAAATTTTGGGGGCTGTAGTTACAGGCAAGAAGGCCTTGGTGGCTGTCTGCCTCCGATGCCTTTTAGCAGTTGGAAGTTGGAACACAAAACTCATCACAATAAATTGTATTCCTTCTGTGGTCGGTAACTTAGGACGCTGGTACATGGATGCTCTTGACTCTAGGTCATGCATATATGGAATATGGTCTACTACAATGCCGAATTTCACTGCGCTTGTTCAATTTCTGAATGTACTCTAGTACAGGCCACCTTCTCACAGTCTTGATTCACAAGGCCTATCTGCTCAAAGAGTTGGCGATTGTTGTAGGATTTTTGAATTCACAAGGCTGATCTCCTCAGATCTGGTAGAACTTGAATTTTGTACATCCATATTGTGAGCTGAACTTTCACTGTAATGAGAGATAAACATGCAGGTCAGGTTGTTGCAAAGAAACAAACTAACAAAAATATGAGAGAAATATCTTACAGTAGTTCACAGAAGTTCTGCTTTGGCGGCATGTCCAGATCATCTAAGCTTCTCTCAAACATTTCTAGAACTTTGGTTATAGTAGGGCGATACATAGGTAACACTTGTATGCACCACAAGCCAATGAATGTTATCTTTCTCGCAATCTCCTCAATTTCTCTTGTCACTTCACATGCTTGTAGTCCATCATCTTGTGCAAAGTGATCGTAAATCCAATCTGGAAAATACTTTTCGCTGGATTTTGCAACAATCGATTTTACGTTTCTCCTACCTCCAACCATCTCCAGCAGCATCATTCCGTAACTATAAACATCCGACTTTGTTGAAACCACCCCGAAGGTTCGAGAGTGAACTTCTGGGGCTATAAATCCAATTGTTCCTCTAGCTCCAGTCATTGAAAGATTGCTCTCTTTTGTATGACACAATTTAGCTAGACCAAAATCAGCAATCTTTGGGCTAAAATCTTTGTCTAGAAGGATATTTTGGGGCTTGATATCGAAATGGACAATACGTGTATTACAGCTATGGTGCAAGTATTCGAGGCCACGAGCAATCCCGATTGCTATCGCATAAAGCCTCTCCCATCCTAAAATTTCTTTGGGGTGCTCTGAATAAATGTACTGATCCAAGGAACCGTTGGGCATGTACTCATATATAAGAGCTCGTTTTGATCCCTCCAAACAAAACCCAAATAAACTAACAACATTAACATGAGAGGTCCTGCCAATGCTCATGACCTCATTCACAAACTCGTCCCCATTTCCTTTGCAGTCATGCAAGAATTTCACAGCCACCAGACGACCATCATGTAGTCTTCCTTTGAAAACCACACCATAACCACCTTTCCCAAGCTGATTGTTGCGAGAAGACGTTATCTTCAGTACCTCTGAGTACGTGTATCTTGTTGGAGCTAGGGATCCATATGACACTATCATTGCCTCGTAATTCTTTTCAGTGTTGCTGCTAGTCTTCTTGCAAAGGAGAAACCATGATCTTTTCCCCTTTCTATGCCATATCAGCACATAAAGACATGCAAAGAGAAATGCTGCAGCTGCTGATGTCATACCTGAGATGGAAGCAGATGTTATTTCCTTTTGTAGAACAGAGGTTATAATACTATGATTTCCAGACAGTCAGCAGTTTAAATTTCTCCTTCCACAAGAGTACATGGTGGCAAAAGTAGCAACATTATTTTTGCCACACTTGCCTAACTTGAGTTGCTCAAATTGTTAGCCACACTTTGGCTTGCCTAAGGAAATCTTGCGACACTTTTTATGCGTATGACACGTGGGGTTCACTTCTCATAAAAAAAATTCTTGCCTTAGGTGTGGCTCAAACCAAACACCCACCTAACTTGATCAAATTTTCCTAAGGTGGGGTGTGGCAAAGTGTGGCAAGATGTGGCTAGAAATCAAACAGCCCCTAATTGTCAAAAATTGACCAGTCTTGTTATTAATCACAAACTTAGATTGATTGTTTCAGATTGGAGACTGTTTTTTCTAAACACAGCCGCACTGCCCCCCTTATCTGAGCTTTTCAATACTGCTTTGATGTGTGCTACTCAACTAACTTACTACATGGAAGTTTCTCTCGAATGAAAAAACATATGGACTTCAGACTTTGCAGATCAACAAAATTCGGAACTACAATGTGTGAAAAAAGTTTCATAGTCTATTGGTCCGGAAAAAATATACGAAATCAGATTTTTCGGTTAAGAAATATTATTTGTAGTATATATGATGTAAGAAAAAGTTGAAAAGTTTTTTTCCACGCATTGTAGTTTTAGTATTTTGTTGACCTGCAAACTTTGAAATTAATGTGCTGCTTCATTTGAGGGAAACAAAAAAAAAGTAAAGTTCATGCACGGATCAAAAACCAACAAATAGATGGTTGGATAAGGGGGTGCAGTGTGCCTGAGTATAGTCACAACCTTCTCTTCAGTTTTTTCTTTTAGAATCAATTTTCAGTGATTACAGACATGATAATTTTTTCTAAATGTTTAAGTTCTTATTTTATCATAAAGAATCACTATTAGTGAACTACTTATATTCAAATTGTTATATATGAAAAAATGGAAAAAAATTACCTACCTATTACCATAATCTTCTTCCCTCTCCTCTCGCGACCTGGAATATAATGTAACAATTAGAGTAGAAACAATGTCACCTAATAGTACTACATTGGTTACTTTTCCAAAAGAAAGAGATAAGCATCGTATATGAATATCCAATATTCTGCTGATGAAGTATACAAAAAAAAAATCATTGCAAGATAGTGAAGAAAAGAACATGGGCTTTCTTTTGACTTAGCAACTATGTCGCTCAAATACAGGTTTAACAAAAAATATACTTTAATTATAGGCCTGTGTAGATTTGATAGCCAATATAAGAGATTGCATAGACTGTGAATTATGAGGATGTGTTTCAATGACATTGCAATGAACGCGGTACCAGCATGATCCACAGTGCACCAAAACGGAAGAGTACTTAGGGTACAGAACTGGACCGATCGCACTAGTTATTACTACATTTTAGTACGAAGTGTAGTAATTAGCAGGTATAGATGCATGATGTGTTCACTTCTCCTGTAAATCTCCTCTATACCAGAAGTTACTTATTTTCAGATAAAAAAAAGAACTTACTAATCTTGCCAAAACTGAACTAAACCGCAAATGTTCAAACTCACTGTCGCTATTATACATGTGAAGCTCACCGCAAATGTTGGACGGAGACACGCGGCCTTTGCAGGTGGCACTCGAAGATATCGTAGGTGGTATTAATCAGGCAAAGCCCTCCGCTCTCCTCGCACGCCTTGCAGTCACCCACCATGTACTCCAGAAGAAACCCGCTCTGCATCAGCCGCCCGTAGTCCGCCCCGGACGCGCCCTCGTACCCTAGCACCGGCATCATGGACACCCTGCAGCCCCCTGGCACCGGACTCCAATGGTTGTTGGGCTTGTACGCTCCGGCAAGCCATGTGAACGAGTTGGACGTCGGCAAGGTGAATCCATCCGAGCAGTTGACAGGCGCCCACGCAGGTGGTGGCGGCTGTGACCGGAGCTCGGTGCAGTTGTTGAGGAAGAATAGCTCCTGGTTGGTCGCACTAATGCGGAAGGGCGTGAGGCCGAGGTCGGAGGAGGCATAATGTTGAGCTCGGTGTCACAAATGCCCCCGTAGGAGATGTCGGGCTTGATGACCCGGAATGAGTTGTCTTCGTAGGAGATGTCGAAGATCTGGTACGGCTCGAGGTTGGCCCTGCCATCTATCCACATGACATGGAAAGCGCTGTAGCCGCACTCTGGCGGGTGTGTGCCGTTGAGCCAGAAGGGGTACGCGATGCGCAGCTCCCAGATTTTTGGCAGGAGGGTGAGGGTGAGCAGAAGCATGGCTGAGCAGAACATGCCAGCTGTATGGACGTGAAATGCATTCATCTTCTTGCTCTTGCACCCTAGTAGTAGTAGGGGACTGGGAAGGTAACAAGGAGTTGGAAGACTTGTTAACGCGGCTTAGTTATTGCTGCACCAGTCCACGGTCAAAGTATCGTTGTCCTTTAGTTATGAACTTTGGGATGACTATACAAAATCTTGAGTGATCATTTTGGTCAGAGTATCGTTTTCATTTTCCACCGGCATTGACCGACTGTTGCAGGTGTCACATCTACACTTTTTTTGTTGAGAAATTCTTTTATCACTCCAGCTTGTTTGAAACTGATGGTTTGATCATCTTAGTGAATAAAATTGCTGCGCCGAAGCGTGTGATCCTAGGCACCTAGCTAGTACTCCCTCCGTAAAGAAATATTTCACGACGGATCAGTGAGCTTACCACTAATAAATGTCGGCAGAGGGGGCTGATCCCATGTCAGGAGGAAGCCATTGCCGATGAGCCGCTCATAGTCGCTCGCATGCGCCTCGCCCGACAAGCCCATCACTGGCATGGCTGTGGTGCTGCAGCCGTCCAAAGCGTAGTTGCGGTCGACCCCGCCTGTCTCATTGTAATGCCCTCCCATACGGACAAACGTGTTATTCCGGCACGCCGTCTCCACCAGCCCCGCCATCCCCGGTGCCTGTGCCCTGGTGCAGTTGTAGAAGATGAGGTTCCGGTTGAGGGTGCTCATAGAGAATGGCGGCCCGATCTTGGTGACTGTGTTGGCCCTCGGGACATGGCAGCCTTTGTGGCTTGAACCATCGAGATCTCTGAGCTTGTTGATGTCAGAGACACGCAGGGAGTGGTTGCTGTAGAAGATTACGAGGATCTGGAGGCTATACCCACGGTCATTGTACCCGAGGTATGGGACGCCGTCGGTGCTGCAGTGGACCTGGAAACCGAAGTGCGCGCACCTGTTCTCCCCAGGACTTGAGACGATCCCAAACGGAGAGGAGATGTTCAAGTTGCCGCATGGCTCCGGTGAGCATCCACTGTCTACCGTCGCCACAAGCATCGGTGCCAGCATTCTGGAGACGATGACGAGGAAGAAGAACATTATGGCCCGACACGCGGGAACACACGAGGAGAATTTTGGTCAATGGTTTCGGTGAGACAAAGGTCTATGACACGAGGAGGATAATTTTTTTGGCGGGGGGAGATGTGAACCAATCCTGAACTGCATAATTCATGGTAGGAGGAGGGGATATGAAGTGGGAGAAATTGCGTGGATGATACCAAGATAATGAAATGGAGGTGAGATGCAGAACGAAGGACCAAAGAAGGGAAAACAGTGAGGTTGAATACATGCCAACAAGTTTGATTGGTTCCGTCGACTGAAGATATAATATTGAAAATATTGAAGGGCGATGATAAGGGAGAACAAGTTTGATTTGAACATAGTGCAAGTGGTGTTAGCCAACAAGTTTGACTGGTTCTGTCGACGCATTTACTTCTCCATACTCACTACAGAGAGTCGATGTTGTCGTGCTGTTTTGGTTGCTAGTGGCGGTGCTGGAGGGTGAGCAGAAGCATGGCTGAGCAGAACATGGCAGCTGCAGAGATGTGGAATTAATCGATCTTCTTGCTCTTGCACATGGCAGTAGCGGAGTATTACATACAAGTGGGCAAACTAGATGAGAGGCAAGAGGGTCTCACGCGGCCTAACTATTTCTGCACCCATCCACGGTCAAAGTAGTTATCTTTACTTTCTGATGACTTCAAAATCTTGATTGCTCAAACATTTTCTTGTGTGGACTGAAGTGCACGATTGGAAGGACCACGTGTCGCTGGCCAAAATATTTATTGGCATAGCTACCTAGGTCGGCGGTGCCATTTTGCCACTAGCAATGCCTGATGGTGACAGGTCTGGCATCTCTTACTTGTTTTTTAGGAATCCAACATCTCACTAGTCATCTTAAGGCTGTGTTCGGTTACGCCCAACCCCGCGAGGTTTTGGGTCCAATCCACGCGGGTCTGCAGGGATTACCCCCGCCGGGGAATAAACCCGGCCCACCCAGTTTTCTTTCGTTCGGTTAAGCCCCGTGTGGTATTTTCCCGGCCCAAACCTCCCCAAACCCACGTGGAAAAAATCATCGACCAGCACCCCGTGGAAGGAATCCCCGAGCGAGGCGCTCGTCTCATCTCTCCCGAGCGAGGCGACAGAAGCGGAGGCGGCGGGGACTAGTGGACAGCGGCGGCGCAACCTGCCCGGAGGAGGAGGGCGCCCTCCTGCTTCGACGAGCCGCCACGAAGCCCGCCGGAACCCTGCCTCCGATTGTCCCATCTCCCCCGCCACCCCCTTGCCGCGGCCGGAACCCTAGCTCTGGAGTGGTTGCTGTAGGCGAGGAGATCTCTGGTTGGTTCTCGCTCTCCCTCCTCCTCCCCCTCCAATTGTCTTTCTCTCTAGCAGCACTGATTCGCCCCCTCCATGAAAACCTAGCCGGATCTTGATCTGTCTTCCAGAATGTGGTCGTCAAGGTCGAGACTTTCTTGGGGTTTCCTAGGAACTACCATCAATTGTTATTTAGATAGGTAGAAATGAGAAAGGAAGGTCAGCCTGATTACCTATTCTGATATGTCGTTGTTAGTAAATTGTATTGGAGTCAGTAGTACAATTTGGTGTCAGTAATTTGTTTGTATATGTCTGTTGTGATTTGTGGGTAGTACTCCAGCTTCAGTGTTAATTTTGTGGTTAGACAGACAGATGACAGGTCGAGAGAGAGGGAGAGGATTGTCTCTAGGGTCACCATCTCGATTTGCATGATTGGACTTGTATGCAAAGCCAATGCACTTTCCTAGACTATCATCAGTTTATTTTATTTTTCTCGACAGAATTAGTATAATCGTTAGTCTATTTCTTGGTATAAAGAAGGACTAACTAATCCGAAGGAACAAAAATGCATGTTGTTTTTGCTGCTTGCTGCTGATAGTACAGTATGATGTTCGTCCCAAAATATAGTATATGAACCTAATCTCTGTTAGCAGCAGAGCACATACTTCTAAATTGTTTTGATGTGTGAACATAAGATACTTTTGGTATGATCATTGGTATATTATATAAATTGTTCTCTTCATGGTGTGATCATCATCTATTCTTGATTCTTGTTCTTGATTATCTAAATACACATAGTGCAGTCTGTGCATAACGAAAATATAGCTAAATCTGCATTTTGTCTTCATTTTCTAGAGGCTAGCTTCGTCGCCTCACAGCTGCGGCAAGACCCTGAATTGGGCAGCATCGCGAAGGACAAGGTAGATTAATCCTCTTGTTTTAATCTTCTCCTTATTCATATTACTGTAGATTAGTATTGCTTGGTCAATAGATCTGTGCTACAAACTGTTCTTTTTTGGTAAGCTGAGAGCTATGTTAATAGCTGACATTACTAGACATTGTAGTTGTTGAAGAATTTGAGCTCATTCATATACTCATGTCATTGTTTTATATTTGTTTACTCTTTTAGTTTGAAATCTTATATTTGATTGTCACTTTAACTTGTAGGCCAAACTGCTGAAGGGACATATAACTTCACCTCTATCGAGTCATCACATTGCTCAACCCAACCACATCTCGAGAATCTTGGAGGAGCTGGCGAGAATCAAGGAGAAACATCAGTTGATGGTGAGAATCTTGGAGGAGAAAGGGTGCAGATTGATGAAGATGTTGAGGAGGTGTACGTGCAAGAAAACATTGCTGTGGAGCCCCA